TTCGAGTGGACTGAGGATTGTCAGCTCGCCTTTGACGAGCTGAAGCAATACCTCAGTTCGCCTCTCCTGCTAACTAGACCTGAGACCGGAGATGAACTCAAACTCTACCTCTCTGCAAGTGGTGAGGTGGTTAGCTTAGTCCTGATAAAAGAAGTTGACAAAATACAACAATTGGTGTACTACGTAAGCAAAGTCCTCCACACGGCAGAAACAAGGTACCCCAACATAGAGAAGCTCGCCTTTGCACTGGTGCTAGCCGCTCAAAAGCTAAGGCCATATTTCCAGGCCCACACCAAATTATAGTTTTGACTGATCGACCTCTAAAGCAAGTTCTTCAGAAACCTGAGGTCTCGGGAAGACTTACTAAATGGGCAATTGTGCTTAGTGAATATGATATCTAATACGAACCGCATACGGTAATAAACGTACAGGTCCTGGCAGATTTCATTGTCGAGTGTACCTTCAGCTCGCTACCCCCAAAGCGACAAAGCTGTAAGTAGAAGCTTCATCGAGTCCAACACCACCTCTAGCTCACGAGATAGTGAGCTAGGACGAGGAGCCCTGGATACTTCATGTGGATGGCTTGTCCAACCAGGGTGGGAGCAGAGCTGAGTTAATATTTTATGGACCTAGCAATATGAAGCTGGAGTACGCGCTCCGGTTCCAATTCCGAGCTTCGAATAATGACGCCGAATATGAGGCACTGTTGACTGGCTTGGCACTAGCAAAGGAGGTGTGAGCTAAACACCTAGTAGTTTAGCATTGAAGAATAGTAGAGTTATACTCCTCAACAGAAGCGAGCTGAACAACGTAGAGATTAGCCAAAACAAAAAGAAGGTACTACAAAGAACAACTACTTCTATTAACAAAAAGGAGGGCCAAATGGCCTTACAAGAAAGCGGACCAAGTGGTCACTAAAAAAAAACGAGAGAAGAAGAAAAAGAGAAAGAAAAAGTTCAATAAGTTCAGACAATATAGGGCACGCAGGCCCCGTAAATCTTACAGGAGCATGAAGCCCCCGAAACAGTAAGGAAAACCACCACCATCTCCACCAAGACCACCCGTCGAGCTACTCGTCACCACCGTCATCATCCTGGGCCTCGCCTCCTTCCTTGACCCCTTCTTTGTTGTCTTCCTCCTCCTCCTCCTCCTCTGGGTTCAAGGGATCTTCATCCACCTACGTAACAAGCTCGCGCGAGACCTTGCATGTAGTAACGAATCTGACATCGAGATTGGGATACAGGGACTTTAGATGACGATGACAAATTGAACTTGCTCTTCATCAAAGGGATACCATCCATTGCCCTCTGCTTCCCATATGTGAGGGACTACAAGTAAGAAGTAACAGCCTCCTCCCTAGCTCGGTCAACCTCCTGGGCATGCCTAGACTACGACTCGCTTAACTTGCGCCAGGATTGGGTCAGCTCGCGCTACAAACTTAGGTTCGCATGATAAAGGCGCTAGCGCTCCTAGCGTTCCCCCTTCGATTCGATCCTGAGCCTCTGCACCTCAGCACCTCAGCATTAAGTAGGCCAATGTTAGATTGCATATTAGCCCTCTCCTTTTTCTCAGAGTGAGCACGGTCCAACAAGACCTGGCTATAGGTGTTTGCCTACGAAAACCAAGAATGAAGTAAGATGCCTCGTAGAAAGAAATCAAGAGATTTTAGCATAAAAAGAAACAAACCTAGATGATACACTGGGTCAATCGGGCCCCAATCTCAACAAGGTCCATCTCGTTGAATTGCCGCATGTCCTCAGGAAGAAGTATCCCCCTACCCAACCGAAGAGCTACGCAGGCATCGCTCGACCGGTCAATCACAGACACGTCAAGAATACTAGGGATAAAGGGGGAATGTCAAACTCGTAAGTGTCAACCTCCCACTCCTCCTGGGCGACCTGGGGCTCAGGTGGGTGCTGCTTGGTGCACATCGGGTCCCCTTCCCCCTCCAGATCGACGATTGGAGGGGTTCCAGATGAAGAAACCTTCTTCTTGGATGACCTGCGCTCAGCTCGGTGCTTTTTACGAGAAGACCTCAACTCCTCTTCAGCTGACATGATTGAAGACAAGCTCGCCATACTTGTGGATAAAGACAAAACTATCAGCAGCCGAGCTAACAAGAAAAAGAAATAAGTAGATGTATGACCTAAAGAAAAAATGCAATATGCGACCTGACAACCGACTCACCTATACGGCTCAGTTCTGCCTACACAAGCATTGGATCGACTAGAAACTCCTCAATCCTAACCCATTCCTAGACGAGTTGTTGGACAGTAGCCTACAGCTCGACATCTCTACAACTTTCTGGCAACTATTGTACTAGGCAGTGACAACACCCCAACTGCCATCATTCTCAAGGAAAAAGAACCTCCTCTTCTTCCAGCCCCTAACTTTGTTGGGGGATTCAAAGATCTTCCTCCCACAGCGGAAGGGAAGGTAGAAACAGAACGGGCCAGCAATTCTTTTCATCTGAACTAAGCACGAGAAGGCCTCAAGACTTTAAGGAAAGCCCTGGTGGTAACACAAACTGATCAACCCTACCAGCATTCTGACCCCGTTCGGGGCGAGCTGACCCAGTGATATACTACTGTAGCGCCTCAACACAACAGTAATGAATGGGTGAAGGGGGAAGCAGAGACCAGCCGCCAATGACTCCTCATAGACGCACAGCCCCTCTCGGCTATAGTCCCAAGAGAAATGACTAGCAACAGGCTCAATCCAATGATACTTGTTGGAAATCTCGTATCTCTGACATATCTCAACTATTTCCTCTCCAGACAGCTAGGTCGGCTTGGACATACCTACTACAGCCTCTACCTCCTCCTTTTTGCCCACTAGGGCATCATCAAAATAGACCTCGTATGAACCCTCACCAGAGGAGCTCAATTCATCATCTGACCTACTACCGGACGGCCTATCTTCAGTAAAACAATGAGACATGGCAAAAAAACAAAAATACTCACCAGAAAAATGAAAGGGAACAAAGCATGACAGTGACAACACTCGAGGTAAGGAGAAACTAGAGCTCGCCAACAAAAAAATGGAGCTCGCCTCTGCAGATCAACATTGGAGACCAACTTGCATACCACTCTCTTCCTTTGGAAAAATCCAAAAACAGTAAAGTATGTGGGGACCTCACCAAAGGACCCATATTTATAGCTCGCAGAAGATGGAATCAACGACCAAATGGGAACTGCAACTAGCAGAGACGCGTTGCTAGGAATCCAATGGCATAGGTGCGAGACAGCCTGGCAACATCAAGAATCCAGCGTACGGGCTCATCCCCTAAGCGCGCTAATTGAAAACTTCAAAAATGAGTGCATGGCACTCAAATTCAAATTTAAGCACACATTTAAATTTGAAGCACCCGCCATGGACACAGTGCGCACGAAGTCACCTCCTTTCCTTCAGAACTCTAGAAGATTCTAGAAGAAGCGATTCAAACCGAGCCCAAACCGGGCGAGCTGATCTGTCGGCAAAGGCGAGCAGACAAAAAACGCCTCGAAGGTCCTACTCTCTTTGCCAGCTAAACAGCGGCTCGAGAGTGGAGGGCAATTGATGAGGGGCATTTTGTTCACCCCGCTCAACTAATGACATGCGGACGTTGTCGACAACACAACGTCCAAGTCAACATGATAGCTCGACAAGTCAACATGTGACACCCAACATCAGGTGGGTGGCCGAGATGGGCGAGCTTGGGTCGCTGCCAACATGAGCTTGCCTAAACCGTTCCGTGCGCCATGCCTCCGCTGGCACTAACTGTTACTATGACCATAGGAGCAGCTCGTCGAACCGTGTGCCACAAGACCCGCAGGAGACCTATAACCGTTGCGCGAATCTAGCAACTGACACGCTAGCACACCTTAAACTGCAAAAACAGCCTCACTAGAGACTCAGAGACATTGCCTAATGGCACTTGAGCCTTAAATAACTATAAAAGGACCCCAAATCCACAAAACAAAGGTATGCACACTGAAGCACTTAAGCTCTCTCATACATTCCTACGAAATCCCCATTCTGACTTAAGCATCGGAGTGTTCCCTTGGGTAAAACCTACCTAGGCACTCCAATTTTTCTTTCTTTACAGTTCTTTACAGCTCAGACGTATAGTTACTTGCTTGGCACTGCCAGATCAGAACCTTGTTCGAGTCCAGTCACTGGACACGAGAGAGCAAGCAGATTGCGTATCATCAATAATCACTAATTACATATTTATTAAATTACCGTAACAATCATTAATTAAGATATATTTATTAAATTATTGTAATAATCAATAATTACTATTATTTATATGATAGTATACTAGGTTGCTCTCACGAGTAGATTCCATTTCCTACATGGAGAGAGCACCCTTATCATATATGGCTAAAAATATTGGGATTATAGTTGATAATGACAACTTTTGAGCCATAATATTAATAAAAATAATACTTTTAATAATATTTCTCAAATAAATTATTTTTTTAAATATCAAATAAAGACAAAAACACAATTCATCTTCTTCCTCATACAAATCATTCATCAACCGGCAATCGTGGAATAACATACCTCTTTCTCACATTTCACAAACTTAGTGTAGGCAAATAAAAAGAGGTATAAGTGCAGGACATCCGGGCTCTCCAAATTTAAACTTTTAAGGTTTAGGAAAAGCCTCGTGCGGTTCAGTACAGGTCTTAGTCATCCGCCTTTCGCGCGGTTTGATGGGTGGTTAACTGATGATCATTGACCAGGAGACATCTGTTCCTACAGGGCGGCCATTGACCAGAACAGAAGGTGCGTGGATACGCGTCTTATCATGATTAAAAATTGGTGTGAGGCACCCCGTCTTATAATATATTTAAGTACGGAGATGTTCTTAATGCAGGGTAGATGTGCGTGTAAAGTCGGTGTGAGGCGTCTAAGTGAGGAGCAGATCATCCGATCCCTGCTAACTTGCGTAACCTAGAAGTTAGAACTTTAACGACATGCTTACTTCCAAAAATTGCTTTCGTTGTGCCTTAAAAAAAGGAAAAAAAAATTGCTTTCGTTTACCAACTTCCCTGCGAACTGTCCTTCAAGGCTCCTCGCTCTCTCCCTCTTTCTCCTCTTCCCTGCTAACAATCTTTGTTACCGATCAGAACATCTGTGTAATAATAAGTCACCTACTAGAACCGTAACTCTCGAGCTCGAGCTTTTCTCTATCAATGGCGTCGTCTTCGTCATCCATGGATCGAGTCTCGTGGCGGGCTCAAGTTCTAACTAGACACCTTCAACAACCTTCGAGCTCACATTCTTCCGTTGCTCCTGTTCTCGAGTCATCTGTTTGTCTACAATACGCTCCCCCCGAGCTATCAGAGAAGTTCGATTTTGACGTTAGAGAGATGCGACAATTGATGGACGGCCATAACATCGAAGACCGGGACTGGTTGTTCGGACTAATGATTCAAAGCAAGCTATTTTGCCCTAGAAATTCCGGTGGAAAGGTTTTCGTTTCGCCGGATTATAACCAGTCGATGGAACAGCAGAGGGAGATGACTATGAAAAGAATTGCTTATCTTTTGGATCGAGGAGTTTTCGAGGGCTGGTTGACGGAAAAAGGAGCTGAAGCAGAGCTGCGGAAGTTCGCTTTCTTTGAGGTCATCGGTATTTTTGATCACTCACTCGCTGTTAAGCTTGGTGTGCATTTTTTCCTCTGGTAATTTCATCTCCTCTAAAATTGTTAAAATTGCCTTCTTTTTCCTTGTCTTTTTCTTTTTCCTGTTTAACAGGAAACACCTCGACTCTACTGATAGCACCTTTTAATACATGATAAGACGCGTTCACAGTGCATATCTTCTTAATTTAAACCAAAAGAGGTACTGGGCAGTGGGGAGTGTGGCTTTCATGATTAAAAAGTGGTGGGTCGATATCTTTTTCTAAGAATTTGGTTGAATTGTCTGGTAGAAGCATCAGTCTATTTGCTTATATGTGGTCAAAGTACATATGATGATTTGTTGGGGGAGATCAGAGATGATTTTGCTATTTTATAAGGAAGTAATTGTTTTCTGAAAATGCCTTTAGGGTGCTTCGTTACCTTCTTTCAAATCAAACACATTAGCAAGGGAGAACAGAAACGTTTTAATCCATGCTTCTTTCTTGTTTAGTTTGAGAATGTTTTGCGGTTTACGTTGAACCACAGATAGGGGGAGGTAAACCTTTGAGTCAAATCAGGTTCAGTTTGGGAGACCAGAATAACAAATTCTTTCATACGTCTGCTACTATTAGAAAAACAAGAAATAGGATAATGGGGACAAAAAATGATGAGGGTGTTTGGTTAAGAGAACAGGATGACATTGTGAGTTTCTTCAAAGAGAAATTCATCAGTAGGTTCAAAACAGAGGGTACGGCTAATATTGATAGTTTCCTAATGGATATCAAAAACTGTGTTAATGAGGAGCAAAATAATCTTCTCGTAAGAGAGATAACAAATAAGGAAAATCTTCGAAGAACTTTCTTCAATTAAAGATTTAAAGGCCCCGGGACCTGATGGTCTTAATGTCCTTTTCTTTAAAAAATTTTGGCATATTGTGGGGACCGAAATCTGTGGTGTGGTGAAGTCCTTTCACTCTGGAAGGATGTGTGGCATCCTATACAAAACTTTCATCACCCTTGTTCTCAAATGCAAAAATCTGGAATTTGTGAATAACTACCGTCCAATTAGTCTTTGCAATGCAGTTTATAAAATCATTGCAAAGATTTTGGCAAGCAAAGTAAAACAGTTTAGATAGCCTTATC